TACACTGCCAAGAAAATTCCTACTTCTTCCTTTATAATTCTGGGCTGGAAAGTTCCTTTGCTGGTTAGTCATGCTATGTTCCGAATATGACTGAAAATCTGAAATGTGATTTGCATTTAAATACTATATTGAACACAAACCACTCTACTCATCATTTGAATCATAACTTACGTTGGATCAGGAATGATTCACAAGCCTGAAAACTCATCCTTCAAGGTGATCATCTTTGTTATTCATGACTAATTGGGTATGCCCTCACTGCACATGACCTGCTCCTGTTTACTTTTATATTTCTCGTAATCTTTAAGGATTCAATTCTAGAAAGTTCAAGCTATTAAAAAGTCTGAGACAAGTATTTCTTTTCCTATTTTACCTGAAAATACAAACTCAAAACAATTAATGTGAAATAAATCAATTGTAATTAAAAACATTATACATACTAGAAAAAAAAATCTATTATAAAAATAATTTACAATAAATATTTCTCCATCTTGGGCGACCTATCAGGGCCATCTTCAGCACTTTTAAGGACCAGAAGACCATTTGTCTTGCAGGAAATGTATCAGCACCTGATCACACAGGTGCTGCATGAATTTCGGAAAATCATTAACGGAAACTAGGTCTTTGTTGACAATAACTTACCATCACAGCACATCATTAGTAGTATGGCCTATTTTAAACAGGATTTCACGACACTGATAATAAAATAATTTATCATATGTCATCAACATAAACATTTTACCAACCAAATTAAGATGCATATTGAAATCCAGTATAAGAATTTAGAGATCAAGGGAACCAGTTGTAGCCACATGCATTTCCAACTTGTGCTGTATTATTCCATGCTGATATAACAACTGCATACTGTGTCAAGATGCATCAAGAACATTTATCATAACCAAGTATTTTGTTTTCCAGGGATGATGTTTAGGAGAGCTTGCACCCGTAAATAATTTAAAGTATTATATTTAAAAGGGATCTTTTATTCAAATTAACATTTTAAGAATAACTTACAGAACTACTACAGTGGTTACACTGAATTATACTATTTAAGAGTTAAAAAGGTACAGGAAGAAGCATCACCATAATAATCATAATCACTACTGCGCTTTTGTCACCGTATTTTAGGAAAAAAAAAAAAGGCGTGCATCTTCTGTTTCCTTTAACAGTTAAGCAATTGTAACAAAGACTCAAAATGCCACAGCAGAAATACTTAGTATCACAAATTTACCTTTTGAAACCAGTTATTCCAAGTAGTAAGTTCTCAGGTGATGTTTTAAAATGTAACACTGTCCAAAGCCTCTCTTACTGATTAAGACAGGAGATTAATGATTCTAAAAAAAATGGTATATATAGAAATTGTTTCGAGGGGATGTATAAAGCAAGTATTTAAACTGAAACTTTTCTTACTCTTTTTTGCACATCACTGCATTTAACAGTGAGAAGGAGAAAAGCATTTTAACAGTTACTTCATGTCTCCTGAAAAATACAGAGTCTGGATCCAGGAAATGGCTCTCAGTATACATGCTTATGTGTACTTTCAAAGAACTACAATCTTAACAAAATACTCATAAATCTATTACCTGCATTAGATAACACAAAAAAAGAACCAAATAGTAAAAAGACAGTAGGGAAAAACCCCCAAAACATTAAAAAGCATTTTCAACAGAAGAAACAGCAGAGGGTGGAAGTACTTAAAAATGGAAACAGATCTATATCGTGCAATTCACGTATGCACTGAAATTTACTGAAAATACTTCTATGCACACTAAGAAGCTATGTTTCTTGCTACGCCTTTAAAAGGCATTTTTCAGGGTATGACTCTCCAAATCAAGTCAAAACTGGGCCCTACTGGTCTTCTGAAGAAAATCCTATCAAACGAAAAATGCCCCTTTCAGCCCACATACAAGGTCCTCCATGCGAGTCAACAGGAAGAATTTTGTATTTTGACGTGAGACCCGAACAGGATGAAATGATCTGGCAGCATATGTGTCCTCCAAAAATCTCCACACATTTTTGCAAAAGCAAGGAGCGCTCTGCTAGCAATGACCTAATTACTAGCATAAAAGCTGCGTATCTGACAAAGGGGAAGAAAGGACCCACTGCTTCATACATAATTTATTAAGATTTCCCACAGCATTCAGGTTAAGTCGCGGACCCAAGCACCTCTTTGTGATGTTAAATAAATCTGTGAGAAGTCAGCGGATCCCAGGGCGCGCCGAGGGCGCAGCGGTGCCCCCCGAGCGCTCCCACCGGCCACCCACCCGCGCGTCCCCCGCGCT